AACCATACGAATAGGTTTACACTCCTAGCAGTCAAACTGGAACAGCATACAATAAATCCCCCCCAAGAATGAGACAAAGCTCCGTGTTGAGGGTCAAGCAGTGAACAGTCAGAGCTGTGGGTTTATTGTGCTTATGTACACATTCTTACACATTAGTACCACCCACAGGGTTTTGGAACACAACCAATAAACACATACAATACACTCAGACACTCCCACACAAAATCCTCCCCTCTGCCTGTGATTCAATTACCTTACACAATGGGTAATGTAATTATAACAAGCAGAGAAATAACATTTTTCCACATTATTCATAACTTGAAAAGTATGCATCACATTCACATATAACTGACATTTTCAGAATCAGCATACTCCAAATACAAACATACGTCAAATTCCAACAAATTGGTCCAATGGTTCAAAAGATAGATCGTAGTCCTTTGTGACCAAAGGAAGCATGGCTTTTCTGCCCAAAACCAGTTCCACAGAGTCTTCTATCCTGGAGATAATTGGGAAGTAATCCAATTATCTCCAAAGACAGAGGCAAAACTCCATTGAACACATGGCAGCAAAAGACAATAAAACACATAAAAACATATAACTGTGCAGCCATTGCACAAAACAGGTACATTCAACATATCCCCAGATCGCTCAGATCACATTATTACTGAATGGCACTCAGAGCACACACATACAGTTCAATTGCCATGGAGCCAAAGTCTTTCCCAAAGTCTTTCATTATACCAATAGGCTCCATGGCATAGCTATCTGGGGTATCACCGCTCAAACAGGGCAAGCACCAAATGACCTGGCTTTCATGTCTTTGCAAGGAAAAATCAAGCCTTTTAACATGGGGCCATAATCCAAAGGCAACAGGCGAGCAACCAGGCTTCTCCAATGCAATGTGGCGAGATTGGTCTCGTCACACTCATATTATAAAAATTACTTTGCTAAGCAGTACAAGTTTGAATAGATTGTCAGGGTTACTTACCGTTAATCAGACATATGATTTTTTTTCCCTTTCCCCAGCCCATGTCTATCTCTTTTGGACCTTCCCCAAACCCTCTGTTTCACTTTGTGTCCCTCCCAGCCTCTGTCTATCTCTTATGCCCCTTCCCCAACTCATCTGTGTCTCTTTGTGTACACCCTAAGGCCCCCCTTCTGTCACTTCTGCCCCTTCCCCAAACCCTCTCTATCTTTGTGTTGTCCCCCAGCCCCTATCAGTCTCGTTTCCCTTTTCCTCAACCCCTCTTTGTCACTTTGTGACCTACAGACCATGTCTGTCTCTTCTGCCTTTCCCCCCAACTACTATGTCTCTTTATGTACCCTCCAAGCCCCTTTCTGTCTCTTCTGCCCTTCTTTGTCCCCCAGTCCATTTTTGTCCCTCTTTGTCTGTCCCCACAGTCCCTGTCTTTTGCCCCTTTCCTAACCCCTCTGTGTCTCTTTGTGTCCCTCCCAATCCCATGTCTGTATCTTTAGTCCATTCCCCATCCCCTCTGTGTCTCTTTGTGTCCCCTAGCCCATGTCTCTTTTGCACCCCCTAGCTCTTGTGTGTCTTTTGCCTCCTCTCTATTTTTCTTTTGCCCCCAGTCTGTCCCTTTGGCCCCAAGCCCATGTCTATCTCTATTGCCCCCCCAACCCCTATCTATCTCTTTTGCCCACCTTGATGGTCCCTCCACTGTGCCAGCTCACCTCCCTTCTCCATGTAGAATGGCCAAGCCACAGACCATGCTAGACAATCTCCTGTATTTCTTAGCCGGTCTGACAGGAAGCAGTTCGGCACTCTCTGTCAGACTTGGTAGAGGTTACAGATAGAGTTGAGCGGACACCTGGATGTTTGGGTCCGGCGGGTTCGGCCAAACTTTTGAAAAAAAGTCTGGGTTTGTGCTCGAACTTGACCCCGAACTTGACCCCGAACCTGAACCCCATTGAAGTCAATGGGGAACTGAACTTTTGAGCACTAAAATGCCTCTAAAAAAGCCCTGGAATGGGCTAGAGGGCTGCAAAAGGAAGTAAAATGTGGGTAAGAGTATGACAAGTGCCGTACAAACAAATGTGGATAGGGAAATCACTTAAAATAACATAAAATACATAAAAATGAAAAATACAGTTGAGCCATAAAATAGCACTAGATGGAATTTTTGATTTTAGCTTTGGAAGAACATAAATCAAAATCTAAAGCATGGCTGTCAGGAGGATCACCAGAATTATCCATTTGAGAGAGGGTTGGAGTGCAGGGTGTTCTCTTTCATTGTTCAAACTGAGCTCAACTCCTGATGAATGGAGAAAAGGCCTTCACAAGCCTCTGCTATTGTGTGCATAGTTTATACTACATGACCCATAGGTTGAGGAGGCGGTGGCGGTGTAGGTGGAAGTGGCGGTGGAGGAGGAGGTAGCCAATGCTGTTTTTTATATATATATTTTTTTAATTGGGATAGCTCCCAAAATGTTGGGAGAAAAAGACAACTCTGTTCTGCAGAGTAGCTGTTGACATTATAGTTGCGCAGGCACTTTGTTGACCCTAGAGAACCTCGGGCCAATCGCACATCCCCATGACGGCGAGTTTGCATTCGGATGTCATCCATATCAACTTTCAATGCCAGTTTCTGCACCTACCATGGTGACCACGAGAAAAGGGACCCTGAGAAACGGCTACCACATGCAAGGAAGGCAGCAGGTGCGCAAATGACCCACTCCCGACGCGGGAAGGTAGTGATGACAAATAACAATACAGGACTCTTTAGAGGCCCTGTTATTGTAATGAGTCCACTTGAAATCCTTTAAAGGGACACTATAGTCACCAGTGCAACTACATGTATTCCTGACCTTATAGTGTTAACACGACCATCTAGCCCCCCTGAGCCCCTCATGCCTCCATAAATATAGTAAAAAAAATCTTACTGTATTCAAGTCAGAAGCTGTAAATCTGCATGCTGTTAGACTCAGGAAAAACAAGCAGTCTCTTGACATGTGATAGCCTGACCCAATCAAAGTGCTTCCCCATAGGATTGGCTGTGACTGACAAGGAGCCAGCATGATCCAAACACAGCCCTGGCCAATCAGCATCTCCTCATAGAGATGAATTGAATCAATGAATCTCTGTGAGGAAAGTTCAGTGTCTGCATGCAGTGGGAGGAGATACTGAATCACAGGATGCTCGTGCCCAGCAGATCTGAGTGGATGGAGGCGTATTATGCCTCCATCAACTCCGAAGTCCCTGTGGTTCACTCTGAGTGACTGCAACTCAGAAAATACAGTGTTTACATGAGAAAAGCTGCAGGGAGCTATAGTTCTCACCTGAAGTTGTTCAGGTGACTATAGTGTCCCTTTAACTCTGATCAATTGGAGGGAAGTCTGGTGCAGAGCCCCTGACCCATGCATGCTGCAGCTGAAACTCCATTATCGCCTGCTGCTGCTCGCACAGTCTCATGAGGCGGTGAGCGGTAAGGCCAAAGTTACGCTGCAGCGCAGACAGACGAGCAGCAGCAGGGTGAGAACGGCAAAAGCGCGCACAGCCGCTGCAGTGAAGGTCACATCCTGTTCCAAGTTGCGGATGAGTCTGGTGATGGCTTCTGGTATCCAGTACTCTTTTTACTGAAGCTGCATCAGGGTCCTGGTATGTGGCCACACAAACGCTGGTGCCCACCTGACTGTGATACTACGAATGGATTGTTAAATCTGGTACGAACCTGAACTTTACAATTCGGGTTCGCTCAACTCTATTATGGATCCTTTGATCGCTACATGTATTACTTTGATAACTGGTAATTCTCTAGCTAATACATGCCCACGAGTGCTAGGGGACGGCCGCTCCACTTTTGCACCCTCTTATGCTGTGCTGGTGCCTCTGTGCGACTAGCGCCTCTTCCTCCAAACTGCACACGTCACTCGCGTGACCTCATCATCCTCCACATCATCTTCCACCCACTCCTCAGCCCTGCCCTCCTTGCCGGTATGCACACGGCAGAAAGCCACAGCGGTTGGCACCTGTGTTTTTCCAGCATGTAAAGTCTGCAAAGGACATATGGAAATTGTTTTAGAATTTACCCAGGCAACAGTTTTCCCTTTACAGGGAGTGCAGAATTATTAGGCAAGTTGTATTTTTGAGGATTAATTTTATTATTGAACAACAACCATGTTCTCAATGAACCCAAAAAACTCATTAATATCAAAGCTGAATATTTTTGGAAGTAGTTTTTAGTTTGTTTTTAGTTATAGCTATGTTAGGGGGATATCTGTGTGTGCAGGTGACTATTACTGTGCATAATTATTAGGCAACTTAACAAAAAACAAATATATACCCATTTCAATTATTTATTATTACCAGTGAAACCAATATAACATCTCAACATTCACAAATATACATTTCTGACATTCAAAAACAAAACAAAAACAAATCAGTGACCAATATAGCCACCTTTCTTTGCAAGGACACTCAAAAGCCTGCCATCCATGGATTCTGTCAGTGTTTTGATCTGTTCACCATCAACATTGCGTGCAGCAGCAACCACAGCCTCCCAGACACTGTTCAGAGAGGTGTACTCTTTTCCCTCCTTGTAAATCTCACATTTGATGATGGACCACAGGTTCTCAACGGGGTTCAGATCAGGTGAACAAGGAGGCCATGTCATTAGATTTTCTTCTTTTATACCCTTTCTTGCCAGCCACGCTGTGGAGTACTTGGACGCGTGTGATGGAGCATTGTCCTGCATGAAAATCATGTTTTTCTTGAAGGATGCAGACTTCTTCCTGTACCACTGCTTGAAGAAGGTGTCTTCCAGGAACTGGCAGTAGGACTGGGAGTTGAGCTTGACTCCATCCTCAACCCGAAAAGGCCCCACAAGCTCATCTTTGATGATACCAGCCCAAACCAGTACTCCACCTCCACCTTGCTGGCGTCTGAGTCGGACTGGAGCTCTCTGCCCTTTACCAATCCAGCCACGGGCCCATCCATCTGGCCCATCAAGACTCACTCTCATTTCATCAGTCCATAAAACCTTAGAAAAATCAGTCTTGAGATATTTCTTGGCCCAGTCTTGGCGTTTCAGCTTGTGTGTCTTGTTCAGTGGTGGTCGTCTTTCAGCCTTTCTTACCTTGGCCATGTCTCTGAGTATTGCACACCTTGTGCTTTTGGGCACTCCAGTGATGTTGCAGCTCTGAAATATGGCCAAACTGGTGGCAAGTGGCATCGTGGCAGCTGCACGCTTGACTTTTCTCAGTTCATGGGCAGTTATTTTGCGCCTTGGTTTTTCCACACGCTTCTTGCGACCCTGTTGACTATTTTGAATGAAACGCTTGATTGTTCGATGATCACGCTTCAGAAGCTTTGCAATTTTAAGAGTGCTGCATCCCTCTGCAAGATATCTCACTATTTTTGACTTTTCTGAGCCTGTCAAGTCCTTCTTTTGACCCATTTTGCCAAAGGAAAGGAAGTTGCCTAATAATTATGCACACCTGATATAGGGTGTTGATGTCATTAGACCACACCCCTTCTCATTACAGAGATGCACATCACCTAATATGCTTAATTGGTAGTAGGCTTTCGAACCTATACAGCTTGGAGGAAGACAACATGCATAAAGAGGATGATGTGGTCAAAATACTCATTTGCCTAATAATTCTGCACTCCCTGTAAACTGACCTCTCAGTTTGACTTGTGAGGGTATTTCCCCAGAATTACAATATTGTTGAAGCTTGTTATCTGGTAGTTTCTAGTGTAGAAAATATCAATCTGTTTTCTATCACTTAGATCTGTGTAACAAGTGTTGTAGGTGTGAAACAATGTTACAAGTGACCGATGTAGGAAATTCGAATCAAAGTTACGCTTCGATTTGACTCTCAGATATGAAGTGAACACCCCAAATATACTATTTAGCACCAAAAAAAAGAAAAACTGACTTTTTAAAACTCCAATGTAAGCAGCAGATTAGCAGCAAAACTATTAGAATGTTTACAAGTGCGCAGTAAGCGCACTATTTGACTCTCAGATATGAAGTGCACCCCACTAAAATACTATTTAGCAGTTTAGCACCCAAAACATTTTAAGTTTTAAAGCTGCAATGTGACAGCAGTATTTGACGATTCTATTTGACTCTCAGATATGAAGTGCACCCCATTAATGTACTATCCCACTAATGTGCTATTTATCACCCCCAAAAATTTACTTTTTAAAACTCTGATGTAACCACGGTATTTGAAGCTTCTATTTGACTCTCAAATATGAAGGGCACCCCACAAATGTACTAGTTTGCAGAATTCTTTCCTAAGCTGTCCCTCACAGCATCCTCTCCCTACACTAATAAGAGCTCATGTGCGTGCGGCACTATGCGACTCCAGCTTATATATAGAGGCTGGGTCACATGCTGCTGTGGCCAATCACAGCCATGCCATTAGTAGACATGGCTGTGATGGCTTCTAAGGGCACACGAGTCAAACGCTTGTTGATTGGCTGCCTACAGCCTTTGAAAATGCACGATTAAATCGCCGAACACCGAACTCCAACCCGAACATACTGAAGCCCATGGAATAGCGCAGTCAGGGGAATGGGCCTTGACAGAGCCAAGGAGTAGGCAGGTGGAGTTAAAGAATTAGGTGTGGGAGGACATCGGTTTGTTTACGGACGCCTCCGGGAGCGTGGGTTTTGGGGCATATCTTGGGGGTAAATGTTGCGCCGAGGAGTGGCCTGAGTCTTGGAAGGAAAGCCCACTGATCAGGAATTTGGCATTTTTGG